AATAATGCGCCTCGGGCCATTTCGCCATTGGTCGGTCAACCAACTTGGTCCTGGCTACCAACTTTCCGTCGGACTTTGAACAAGAAAATTCTTGAGTCAGTTTAAGATGCTGCACAAGAATATATAATCATTAATAATATCTGATTTTATTTGCAGAAAGTAATTTAGGGCTTATTGAAACACATATTGTTAGAAAAAGGAAAATTAACACATTTCGTTTCAATGCTCATACTAAGGACGAAGTAGGAAACATTTGTCATATTTAGGAAAACAGACAGAGATTGGACTGTTTTTTGTTTTTACCTAAATTCAAATTTAGGTCTAGCGACGCGCAGACATAATTTATTCGATTAGTAGTCGTTGACAATGCAACTTTGCTTTAGCGTTCTATTGTAAATTTTGTAACTTAAATAGAAGGAGTATACTGTCTGGTCAAGGAAAACGAAAATAGGATGAATAGTATTTTGGAGTTAAAATAAAACTCGTCCGACAATGCCATAATGCATGTCTAAACATAGTAAATGAAAAAAAGGCAGGCTCGAACGGCTCTAACTAAGTGTTTAAGCAATCGTCATCAGACTTCAATACTTTTATTGACTCCACGTATCGTATTTTGTGCTATAAGGCGTCCAGAGGGTGCGCAGTATATGATCCAGCATACATAAAGTCTTGTAGAACAGAAAGGAAATAACAAATTGATAGAATAGCATTGCGCTAATGCTTTAATACACTGGAAAAGAAGGTCGAGTCAAATGATGATAAAGGGCCTATGTTCAACGTGGCAAAAGAAAGAGTTGGGCGGTGCGCTAATTAGTCTGACCATAAAGGGCATGAATAAACGTATTAAGCGATCCAGATGAGCCAACTGATGGGTTGGTTACAGGTTGGCATAGCCACTGTCCGGACCTCCGCCCATGATAAACTGTATTCGAGGTGAGATAAAGTTCACATTGCTGCACGCCAAAAAACGGCATGAGGAACAGAGTATTCTTTATTATTGCCATTTGGGTCTTGATAAAAATCCCGGTTTGACGAGCGCTTCTGTGAAAAAAATGTTTTTTTAATAGCTTAGTAAATCAAATTAATTTATGGATACGCCGAACATCATTGTGAGGCCAGTCAGTATCGGGTCCCATTTTTGCACTACATTTGCCCTCTCCACGTAGATACAACAGTCTGCCACCGATACGCTTGTTTTTAGCCAATTGATTAGTATACTGGAAGACTAAAACCTTTTTATGTTACAATTGACTTCACTAGGTCAGATTGTTTATCAAATATACTGCAAACATCTAGAATGCCATTTCACTTTCCAAAGCTGAACCGGCATTAGAAACATTCACCTTATTCGCTATTAGAACAACAATAACAGCCATGCAAGAGTCAAGGTCTTGAGATTGCGATCAATTTCAAAATGGCAACTTCTTCGCTATGGTAGTGCATAGGTTAGGATCTCCTCTGAACGTCTCATAAAGATATATATATATATATATATATACAAACGATGTAATCGATATAATTATCAATTTCCAGACATGCTTGAAGAGGATGTATGTATACTTTTCATTTACCAAAAAAAAAGAATAACAGTAAATGTTTCGGGTTTTTCGTTAGGTACTGCCGTTAAGCGTTACTTCAGAAAGATTTATGACTTAATATTTAGAAACCGCAGCACTCGACATCTGGGTAAGCTAATTGTAAGCGGTTTGCTTAATTATTCCTCATCCTCCTGTGCACCTGGGTATATCTGGCTTCTGACGAACTGGTTCAAATATTTCAACGTACACTTAAAATAAAGGTTTATCTCCTTTATTGCATTAAGAAAAGCGTTTTTCTTCAGCTTTCTAAACACAGAACTTTAGTCTTCTTCGAAGCATCTACTTTTTTCTTCAAATTTCGCTAAAGGCATAAATAGTTATAGGACGATCTATATCACTGGTTCTTTTTTTCACTGACAGACGAATTGGTTTTTTGAAAGGGTGGCTGTTCTGAGCGGCGGTGTCGTTAAACCCTGTTTGCTCTGAGTGGACTTTTTCCTAATGGTTGTACCTTACCTGAAGGGAAGCGATAGTGGATCCTGATAATCGGGCCGTGTAGTCTTCCTTTAAAAAGGTTAAATATGTAGTAGTATGGTTAACCTGTTTCACTACGAACTCTACGTGTCTATTGTATTTTATTATGATAATTATAATGTTTTCAATATATAACCTTGTTACCTATCAAGTAAAACAGGAAGACGTAATATTAGATATACAAATTATTTTGTATCATTTTCGCTGTGAGTTCTTTCTAGTTGCTACAATTATAAACTCGTAAGCTGCGTAATTAAAAAACATTATACCGGTTAAGTCGGCCTTACGCTTCTGGCCCATGTAATAACATCATCCGGTTCGAAAACAACATTTGTTATGAATACGTTCAACTTTACGAACTTGAATCGCCTTACCGCCCCGCGAATTATTTCATATAATAGTATAACGTCCTGAAATTCTAATTATACTTGTTGTACATACGCATCTTGGCGTAAATCTGTAGTAAAAACCAGACCAAGAACACTCCGTATGTAAGAAGTGATACACGTCTTATTCAGTTGCACACTTTGAGCTATTCAAACATGTTTTTCTTAGAACGTAATAATCATACGGAATTTACGATTCAACGGAATTGTGTATTGGCTTGCTGACTAAACAATTCGTTGATGTTCAGGTATTATGGTAACCCCTATAGCATTTACAACGGATGTGGGTCGGTTATTAATCCCTTGATCACACTTATGGAACAGACATAATCATACCGTAACAATAGACTTAATCATTGCCATGCATTGTTTGAAAATTGTATTTACAGCTTATTCTAACCCTCATTTTTCTTTTGTGGAGAACTTTAGATCTTGTCATAAGGTTTCCGAGGAAACAAATCAGCATAATCGAACAGGATCTAGATGATCCTTTTAGGGTGCCACAGAGAAACAGATGCGTTACATACTAAGTTTGTTGCTTAAGATCCGCACAGCGCGAGACTGCAAGATTTGAATTTAGTGCAATAAAATTCAATAACCAAGTGTTTACCTACTATAGGATACCCAACTATTTTCTAACAGTCACTCCTAACGCTACATCTTTACCTTAATCTACTTTTATCACATGGCTCCTTCTCATCTGCTTGCATTAACCATAAGCATTAGGTATTTATATATATCCTATAAGGCACACCGATTAGCTATAGTTGACAGTCTCGGTAAATGTACGTCGTGTCGGTTTTTTTTGCGATACTCCAGTCCGCACAAATCCAGCGTGTCTCTCCATTCGTGCCGCAAGTCCTTAGCATGTATCGGCACGACACGTACGTTCACAGAGGCGGTTGCTAGTCGAGCAAGTTCTTCTTGTTGGGCTTATTTTCATGCATCTCAGCCTTGCCGAATATAAAGAAAAAAAAGCTCGACTTTCAAAAGGTAGCAACGTAGACCCAGTTAAGTGTTTTCATATCATAATGAACTCATCTCGGATCTCCTTTCCTTTTGCTGTTTCGGTTTGTATTATCGAAGGCCGCTGAATGTTTCTCTGATATCCCGTTTTTCTCATTTACAGGTCAAATTATTGTTGTCCATTCGATTTTCGAATGTTCTTTGAAACTGTTATTTATGGCACGTCGCACTGTCCGCTGTAAGAATTTTTCAGCGCCTCAAACTTTCTTTCTTGGACCTTTAAGCTTTCTGATTCACTGCTTAGCCCGAATAATAACACCAAGAATGAGATTGATTCTGTGATCCCTCTTCGAAGAACTTACTTTATTACTTCAAAAAAGAAAAAAAAATTTGACCCAGTATTGGGATATCTGTGTATGCAAATTATCTATATAATCGGGTGCAATAATAACAACTTTCAGATGACACGGGGGTGCGCAAACGAGATTCGTCACCTCCGTTTACCGCTCTCATCAAGGAAGAAATCACACAGCGAAAATCCGATGTTCCAGGTGCGCGTATATTTTGTTGGAAATATAATTTTGGCAGAGATGAAGTGTAGTTTAGCATTTAGTCCGCTGTATTAGTAGATATCTCCAATAGATATCCCTTTGTCGCCGTTAATAATAAGGGCTAGCAACGAAAAATGCATATCGTTTTTATGGCTATATAGTAAGCGCGACATTAACAAAAAATAGTCGATACGAATTGTAAATACGACCGCTATATTATAAGGAATCATGTTTTATTACTAGATAGTCGAGACATAACTGTAAAAGGCTATATAAAACACTATCAAACGGTAATAATGCGTTGTTTGGCAATAGGACAGATTGTTTTAATATTCAGTTTCAAGGTATTTCAATCGAGTATGATTTCACACTCTCCACTCCTGTCATTCCTAGATATTGGGTTCGCGCAGCGTCTGTTTCATGATTTAAGGACGAAGAAAGGATGGAGGATGGGTGCTTCAGACGCAAGCGAACTTAAGTCCAAATCGATCCTGAAGGCCAACATTTTCTACCGAACGAATCTATGATCTAATTTAAAAATATAGAAACGCCTTAGTTAGATCTTAGCCATGGCAAATATTGAATGTCATCTATTGTTCAAGCCCCTGTGTGCCAACTCAAAACTCCGAAGTTCTTGACAGGTAACTGCACTCGTCCAATATGCCCTATTTCAAGGCAAGTTCAAATGGACTTATTGTACACAAAAGTTACAGATTTACAAGATTGAAATTTTGCAACGAACCGTTCGTCACCTACTGCAGATCATCATCAGTTATATATTTGTTTTATTAGACTACCTACGATTATTTGATTTATTGCAGAAGAAAAGCGAGCACATTCTGTTGTTGAGCTTCAACGAACTTCTGAGGCGGAGCCGTGGGGTCTAGTGCTACTTAGCGGTGGTGGCTGGGGCGCGGGGACCGCATGCCCCCGTATCGCCCACCTTCCTCCGGGGTCACTAGCCCACCGCTCGGATATGCTCTCGCAGGGTGACGTGCTCACCAGCGTCAACGGAATCTCTACGAGAGGAATGCGCGTCGATGATGTCACTGCACTTGTTGAGAGCGCCAAAACCAAGCTTGTACTCGATGTTGAATACGAAATACCTCCTGCTCGTAAGTATCTCCTGAACAATACGTTTACTGTTTAATGCCAGTAGCATTTCTTAGACGATTACCGCTCTCCTTTTTCTATTTCTGAATGCCCCAGTGCGCTAGTCGTATCTGCACATTAACCAATTGTATCATTGTTAATAGTTGCTATTTTCCTTTTTCTCCGAGGCTATTCTTAGGTAGTTCCTTAACGAACATATCCCGACCATTCATGTGAAGTGTCAATCCTGACTAACGCTTGGAATTTCTTGAAGCAAAGTTTTTTAAGATGTTTCGAGTGAGTTCGTGCTGTCACGAGCTACACTTTTTTAGTTGACCCAAGTTAGCTTAGACGAGGGCAGTAAGCACCATAGATCGACCGCAATGTCGATCGACGGCACCGTCAATTACCGGCCAGCATTTCTGGAAAATAAGGGGGATCCTTTAGATCCATGTACTATATGGACTGAGGGACCGTCCGTTCCAGGGGCTCCGAGGCCGACGTTCGTCAAGTACAAAGTGTGGACCCCCGATGGCCGGTCGAAGAAAGCTTCGTTGTCGTCGTCGACGACGACGACGACGACGACGGCGGCATCCCATCTGCTTCCGCTGTTCCTTTATCACCGCCAGCAACATTCCTCACGGTTGTCTAAATAACATACAACATCGATATAATATATGAGCGCCTTCTTTTTGAGATGTAAACCAGCGTATAATAACGATAACAATTATCATAATTATAATTACAGAGATGTATTATTACGTACAACTCTCGGTATGTGGAAATTAGTTTCTAGAGTCACGGTTCTTGCAGACGCTTTGTCTTCAGGGCAAAGGTCTCCAAATGCGGACAAATATGTTTTCTAGTCCAAACACACAATCGCTTTGCGAACGAAGCAGTGCCCTTAGACTGTCCGCTTTTCGTTTTTCCCTCTGTGATAATTGGTGTGTCGTACTGATTAAAAATTAGAAATAAAGAAAGATGCAGCTGGTAATAACAGTTAACTATGGCTCTTTCTTTTTTTACGCAATTTATTGAAGTGTTCGATCTCTCAATCTGAGGTTTCGAGTACCGATTGGACGTGAATGAAGTGTGTGATGTGCTTCTTATAGCCCATCCGTTGTAATCAAGTGTGAATACAAGTTGTTCGTTCAGTTCAACTCCAGCTAGGCCTTAGTAATATTGTATGTACTTACAAAGTATGCTCGATGGACGTACCGTTGCGAGTATTTTTTTTGTCTTATTTGTGCAGTAGGAAGATACCATTCTCCAGCTAGAGTCTTGTTCTGTTTTGATATGATCGCAAAACTCATCCTAGTACCTTTGTCATTGCCACTATTGCTGAGTGCTTGGGTAATGCTTATTTGGATTGGAGACTTATTTATCATGTGTTTGTTCTGGGGAATCTGCGGCCCTTTTTGCCTTTTGTCGTCCATCTTTCATTTTCATTTATCACTGAAACCAATGGAAAAAGCCATTCTAACTTTAGCGTTACTTCTCCCTCCGTCTCTTCCTTTTTGCGCCATATTGGGCTACCTCTACCGCAAACCAGTTATCGTTGAACAACAATGATTGGTGCCGTCACGGGAATAAGCGCAGGCGAACGCAATTAGACGGTTTGATCAGACAAGTTGACGTGCCTTGCTCCACTCATATGTCAGGTCTCTACGATATTTTTGGATGCGATCGTTTCAACCCCGCCTTAAACGTCTCTCACAACTCAGTTGTTAACTTTCATTCTTTAAACCCAAGGCAATCCCTCTTTCCCTTTTTCGGTTCCTCCTCTGATAGATAGGTCATAATGAACTGCTTTCGTAGATCGCTCATTTTCTGGATCGTTTCTGGACCATAGAGCCCCTAGAAATATATGGTGGAAATTTGTCGGCTCAAGAATTCTAGAAACATAATAAATGCACAGTATACATGAACGATTCTAGTTTCATTTGTGCTAGTCAATAACGAGTTAAATTTTCTGGGAAAAGCACCAGGCGTAGTTAGTTAGTTTTAGCAACGTCAACGGAAGTGGCCTATATCGGGAACAATGATAAAAACTACAGCCTGAAGAGTATCTTTCACAGATGATTTAGACGATATTGTGTAAATGCTATTCATTCTACATACATTATGTACTATATTAGCGAACCCCAGTAGGTGGGCTTCTTCTTCTCTAAAGTGGATCCTGTAGGTGTGACTTCGATTTCCAACTAACAATCAATCATCAGCATGCTCAACATTAACTACGTAAATGGTTAGTATCCAGAGTTTAATTGAGAATCGCGCATGCGTCAGAAGTACCGATTAGCATCCCCTAATATCCCTTAAAAATATTTATGAAACAACGATTATTACTAAGTTACCGGCAATCATCTAACCGGACAAATAGAAATCCTATGGAATGATCTAATGATGAAAAGAAAAGTTGAACTATGGCTAGTTATTTTTCTTATCGAAAGGCATTGCTTATGGCTATAAATGGCTCTAGTAGTGTAATATTAAAAAATTTATGACTCCATTTGACTAATACATATCATGAATCTTGGTGAGATCATTGAATCATGCAGGGATTTTGATGCTCGCTGATGATTTAAAAATAGGACAAGAGTAGATACGTGACTAGTCTTTATTCTTGTTTCCAATTGACATTTATCGCATGGCCTAAGCACTAGCATTAAAGGCAACAGCTGAAACAGTCGGGTCGGTCTGTTTTCTTGTTCAGATTTTTACCTAGTATATACAATGACTAAAATTGAAATGGTCACGCTGTCAAGGGCAGCCTTGAGTTTATTGAGTAGTTTGAGTGTTATAAGTCATTAAAGTTAAAGATTTAGTAAAAATATTAATTATCGTGCCTCTCGTTTGCATTCTGTTACCTGTACTAATTGTTCGATCCCGTCCCGTTGAACTCATCAACATGGTGCACTGAGATTCAGCGATGAGCGTGTTAGACGGCAGTTTGTCAGTGTGCCCCAAAGTTATACAGATTAAGCTAGACAAGGACCCTCATGGATCGTTGGGCTTTCTTCTGCGAGGAGGATCTTGCGTCGATAACCTGAAATCTAGGCCACTCACTGTTGTCCATGTTCGTCCCGGTGGGCCTGCCGATCGGGAGGGAACAATTAAGGTAAAAGTCAACCCATTACGCAGCAAATATTGTGTTATTATCCTAAACACTGTTGCTATTCTGAGAGCCTAGACATTAAATTTGCTCGCATGTACTATAAAATTTACAACGAAACAGATATCGAAATGAGTTCCGTTTATTGTTTAGAAACAATAAACATTTATAGATAGATTGTTATATTTTTAATATTACATATATGCGTATGCGCATAAGACCTACAATGTGTTGGCTCAGCAGTTGTTGACGTCGAAATATCGTTCTCTGACAGCCTGGAGACCGGCTCATTGCAGTTGATAACGTTCACTTAACTGGTGCAACGTTGTATGAAGCCAAGACCGTGCTAAAACAAGTGGAACGACAGGTTCTGCTTACAATCGAGTACGATGTGTCTGTAATGGACGCCGTCCGCAATGCGTCAGGACCTGTCCTGGTAGAGATTGACAGAGCCCACACCGGTATCACCCGATTGGGCGTTACACTAACTCAACTCGATCATTCATGTAGAGGAATCGTTATTGAAAGTATTCGACAAGCCAGTATTGCCGAGCGATGCGGAGCCTTACATGTAGGTGATCAGATTCTAGCCATCGACGGAGTAAGGTTAGAGCTGGCGTGCACGTCGGCAGCAGAAGCTCAGCGGATGCTTCAAGAAGGCATCGACAGTGTCTTACGACTCGAAATACTCCCAGCTGGCCGCTTGTTAAGACAGTATGCTGAGCAGCAGCAGATGAAGGCATCGGGTAGCTACAATACACTGTCATCTATAGGTGGACAAAGCACATCATCAAGCAACTATCCCCTACCGCCAATTCCTCCGCATCACACGAATGTTACACCAAAACGGCAATACAGTCTACGAAGACACCACTCGGATCATTTGCCTAGTGTCTCCAGCTGCGGCCAGCGAAGGAGACCCAGTCATGACTCTTCTGGTGATAGGTACGCGTACATTTTTCTTTTAAATTAAACCATAGCTACAGTTTTGTACAGGTGAAGCATTTATATTAATTGTGATATCTCGAACGCTGAAGTAATAACATCACTTCTCTGTAATAGAAGCACGTGCGTCGTATGTGCAGGGACATCCCAACTTACATTATAACGTGTCTGTTTATTTGTATTTATGAAATAGTACTGTATTTGTCCCACCGGGTTACGAGCTGCAACGATCCCGATCTCAACACGTGATCAGTCATGTTGAGAGCATTGAGATCGTACTAGCTACAGATCCCCAGAAGGGCGGTTACGGAGTTACTCTCAGAAGCAAAGATCGGGTCGCTTTTGTCGAGTGCATCGTTCCCGGAGGTCCAGCCGATAGGTGAAGTTTACTCATCGTTATTACTGTTAAGTAGAACAAAAGTAGGCTTAGTTATGGAGCTTGAAGCATAAACTTACAGCTACACAGTTATACGAAGTAGTCTGTTATCGTTGTTGACGACACCGCTTACTAGGATTATGTACCTTTTCATTTTGTGGAATACTCAGTATATATACAATGTTTTAATGAATAGCAATTTCGACTGGTATTCTTAGAGGAACTTTTAATATATATAGGGTTCACCGGGCCTATTGAATTCCACACCCATACTTCGGTCTAAAAATAAGTTAATGACGAAACAATGTAAGGAGAAAAGGAGATCACAATCGACAGATATCTAGCAAGACAAATATACTACATCACATTTTTCCTTGGATGCTATAGTTCTCGCTAGAAAAAATGTCAAGTACTTAACAGTTCCGCAACTACTAACAGCATTGCAGCCAAATCGTGTGTGCCTATGTCCTAAGATGTTTATATTGTTATACATCGGGGAAAGCTATAAGCGTGCGTATGTGGTGTCATCATTCGTGACGTGTTCTATTCTGGTATAGCTGTCATCTCTCAAATCCCCACTACAATACGACAGCCCGTACGAATGGGGTTGCACGTTAAGAACTATTTTTCCGTTTTTAAATAGCATTTATAAGATGGGGCATTAAAGTAAAAAAAGTTTTTCAATAAACTTAAAAAACGTTTTGCTCTCTCGTTCGATGGGCATACCCTGAGCGGTATTTTAAAACTATTCTACATCTTTTGCCAGTTATCGAACCTTTTCTTGTAGCATACGATTTCGCAGATAAATGCAAAACCACCGGTTAGTTTTTGCGTTTGAAATAAATCTCCTTGTTTCACAATTTTAGATATACGTATAATGCAGTCATAACTTTTTATGAGAGCTCCTTTCTTCCATAAAGAAGAAACAGAAGAAACGCAAATTAAAGAACTTAATGGCAATTACAATAATAAGCGCTTATTATATTGTTGTTCGAGACGAAGCGAGGAAGTTCACAAGGCAAGATACTTGTGGGCCCAATAACCATAGTCACGCATCACATTTTGTTATGGTATCGTCCTTGTTAGTTCTGCGGTCGCCTTTAGTGGCCACGTATTTAAATATAGTCCATATGGATTTCTCGTGTTTCAACTAAAGAATATGCACAGATTGGCTCTGGTGATACGAAAGGGCAAAGCCACCCTTGAGTAATGTCATCGTGATAAAATTCACACCTATATACCGTCAAGGATAAGTGTGTACTTTTAACACGATGTTTAAGCACGCCTACTGGGCATGATTGCCACGTAGTAGCGTAGCATATTGGAGTCTTATCTTTCTTAGGGAACTAGAAATTGATCCCACCGGGCTATTACTTTTGACAGTTTTTTTTGTTGGCTTTGATTTTCTACACCTTTATAATACTAGCCTTTAGTTCGTCTTATTTGTAGCTGAGAATTATGAACGTTTAGAAGATTCTCAGTTATTTCTGTGGTGGTGCCCTCACTATAGGACACTACATATATATTGATAGTCGTCATCTGCCTGTATAGTTATTTTCGTTATAGTAGTAGTCGCGTCTGTATGCTTATTGCATTGTCTTTTACATTTCGATATTTCTATTCATGTTTAATTTTGTCTAGGCATTCTAACGTATATGCTTGAATTGTGCAGATCCGGAGTGGTACAAGTTGGCGATCGTGTTTTAGCGATTAATCATCAGAAAGTGGAGAGCCTCACCACTGATGATTTGAACCGCTTTCTGCTCAAAAGCAGACCCAAGGTTACGTTGCAGATTGAATTTGATGTTGCCGAATCCGTCATCGCATCCAGTGGAACCTTCACTGTGAAGTTGGAAAAAAAAGGTCCAGGATTAGGAATTACTATAACTGGTTAGTTAAATGTCTCTTAATAATCAGATCTGGAAACTCCTGGCTACCTGAGGTAGCCATCCAAAATAACCATAACATACATTTAAATTCGTCAGCCGGATATGATCGCCTAACCAAATTTTCGATTATAAATATATTAAGACCAACTTATAACTATCAAGGTTAACTGATCCTTGTTTAACCTGATCTGCTAAGAGACTAGAAATAAACACAGCAAAGCTTTTAGCATCCTGGACACGGTGATTATGAATTGCAAAAGACGTTTAAATAAACGCCATCTTTCTTACGGTGAACTTACGTTTTCACACAGCACCACGCGAACGAAGTTCCGGTGATCCGCTCGTTATTTCAGAGGTTCGGCGAGGCAGCATCGCCCATCGGTCGGGCACACTTCAGCCTGGTGACAAACTTCTTGCGATTGATCAGTTCCGAATGGAAAGTTCTACAATCGAAGAGGCAGCCCGCATTTTACAGAACTGCCAGGGAGTTGTTCAGCTGCGTATACGTAAGGATGAGCATTGTAGCGGTAAGCCATGGAAGGACTATATTTGCGTATCTGATTTTTTGTTAAAATACTAATTTCGTTGAAAAAAAATATTAAAATCAACATTTGCTCCTACTCTAAGTTAGGCGCGAGTTTTGTCAAGGTTTTCTCAGCAACTTAGATATTCCAATGTCGTGAACGTTAAAAATAATATTGCTTATCGTAGATTTGTTTTGTGTTGTTCCCGATAGTTTCTGTCTTATTATACAAAGCGTTCTGGAACCCATGAATCGTATATCTGGTGTCATTAATTCTAGCAATATATTTTCACTTTGTGTTAACCATTATACTATTATTAAACAAATCTATGTAATGAAATATAGGGTGTGACACCACGTACGCTCCATCATATACAGTCATGTCATTGTTTCGCGTCAAAGTGGGTTAACTATGAGGTGGCCCGATTTCTTTTTATTCCTCCTGCTACACTTAATTAAATTTGGCACTCTTTATTACCCTTATGTGATAAAGCCCGCTTGAGCTACAACTAGCTTATTTTTTGTTACTTGGGCTAATGCGAGACCTCAGTGTTTCACCACTTTGAGTACACAGTATTGCCGTAAAGATTTAGGTTCTCCGTCTACATTTCAGTACCTTAGTGCTGTGGGACTTAATGGATTATCATCCTTTGTTAGGTTTAATATCAATAAATATTAATATTCGTGGAGTAATCACCCACAATAAAAATTGCTCTATCACTGGGGTAGCATCTTAAACCTAACAGTGGGATATAACTAACGTAAGTAAGATCGATGATTTCCTGCTAAAATGGTATAACAATATGGGGTAACGTAATGACAAGACTATGCATTTGCTAACAACTACTGGGAGGTTTTTTCTGTAGACTGTAACAGGCACACAGATAATGCACTTTAATTGTGACTTTGGTATGCCTCCTGTGCGTCATCCATATAGTAAAATACATAACACTGGTGTGCATTAATATTCTCGGCAATACCCCTTTCTTTTTTACTTACACTACTAGGAGTACCAGATGAACCAGATGCGGTTGTATACACGGTCGAGGTCGCGCGCAACGGAGGGCCTCTCGGTATCACAATTTCGGGAACCCAGGAACCGTTTGATCCAATTATAATTTCTGGTCTCACCCAGGGTGGGCTAGCCGAAAGGTAGGACTTAGCTAATACCAGTCAGCCTATATATCTGTCTGTATATACCTGTCTGCATATGGAAAACATTTTTTATTATTTCTAGAAGACCGAACGCGACGGATCTTTTCGCTGGCTTTCTGCTGACAAGCAGATCGCAGAGCATGACCTTGCAATTCTAAAGGACATACTTCGCTTTCCTTTGTTTCATTAAAGACATGACAACAACAATAATTCGTTAACCTGTGAGTATTTCAGAACGGGAGCACTTCACGTTGGAGATAGGATTCTTGCTATTAATGGCACAAGTCTAAGAGGGAAGCCTTTAAGTGAAGCTATTCTTCAACTTCAGACATCTGGGGATGTCGTCACTCTAAAGCTGGCCAAATTCAAACTTGGGAGAAATGGTACTGCCGGCGTTAACAGTATTAGTGTTTATCCTGCATTTTGATGCTGGATCACATTTTCAAATACGAGAAAAAAGTAGTTGATTCACAACAATGGATTTCACCTCAAGCTTTTTTAGTTGAAGGTTACTTTCTTCCAACGTATGAATTTTGTTTGTAATATAGCAATGTGTCCTTCTAAAGCTTCTGTTTCATTCATAGTTCTTTACCGGTGTTTGTGTTAATCTACAGTGTTTGACGACTTGGAACGAGGTTGCGTATCTAGTCCGATACCTTTAGGGACAGCTATCTCTCCTGGTGGCTCTTCCCCATTATCAACACGACCTCCACCTTCACAGTCTCCTCGCTTAGATCCTAAACTATTGCTACAGCGCCTTTATGCCGGTACCCCAATCCCATCAGTTGATAGTGCCGTAGAGAGCTGGGACTCGTTGGCCAATCTCGACACAGCAGGTGCAGCTACAGCACCTCCGACTGCGCCTACAACAGCCGCAACCACCCCAGCTTCAACTGCATCCCCTGTATCCTCGATGTCGCCCAGCGGACTTCCGCATCCTTCAACAACAAGCCACTCGCAAGCAGTCAACACCGCACAACCGAAATCAGGTCTGCCGCTGTTTTAAATCATTTTTAGCAGGTACCTTTAAACAGAACTATAACGCACGGTTCCTTCAAGGTTACACGCCCGGTCTCTATCGATTTGCCCCCGTCAAGCCCCAATCATTCAACAAAGATAGTCGTAATACATTTTTAGTACTTTGTGATTTCACACTTTAAAAGCCAACCAAATAAGTTACGGTTAATAGTACATTGATTTAGAATAGTAGTTAGAGATGGGAACACGACCTTATCTTTGAAAATAATGCCGAGACATATCAGGTTCGACACCTGGTATTGCTAGAAAGGCAGTGGGTCGATCATACGTACATCTGCTAATTAAATTAATGAATTAATTAGCAAGAAAATGGCGTGAAAGTCGTGATAAATATGCACCGTTCAACACACCATAAAATTTCAAATCTCATCCACTAGCTCCAAAGTAACTTCTGAGTAGTGTCGACTAAAGGTCGTTAGCATAAATGACAGTGACCGAACGAACCATACCGATAGCCGGAAAGCGCAGTATATTCTTTTGCAAGGTAACAGTTCCTTTTCCGTCACTTTGGGATCAAGACCTAGTTATTTGCGTGTTAAATTTGACATTACATTGATATTGCCTTGAACATTTAGAAAGTTAAATTAATAATAATAATAATTAAAAAAAAATAACGTACACATGGAAGTACGGTGAAAATATTTTGAATACATGAACTGTTGAAAGATATTTAATAATCTTAAGATTGAAGAGATATTCAATAGTTATAGCAAATTTAATTATAACAATGGTACCTTTTTATCATATAGGTTTAACAAAACGTTTGCCATCTAATTGCCTTACAAATCTATTAAAGAAATTGATGTGGAAGCTTCCGAGGATGCGTGGAGTTCGATTCGCGAGTGGCAAGCCGGTCTTCCACCTGCATGTCAGGAGGTTCCTTTAGCAAAGTCAGCACCTTCAAGTGCTCGCTGGGATCCACCCGACTGGGCCCTAAACCCCGAAAGAAGACCGAGCCTTATGGCTAAAGCACCTTCTCCATTACCGCCAAAGAGTAATATAGGGACATCATCTCGAGATACTACGGCCTTAAGTTCAGCCACCTTAAACAGCCTTCAGCTATTGGCTCGTCAATCAAATGTATCCGGCTCGTGTCTTCCCGCCGTTTCTCCATCCACTCCACCCCCGGGTCAGCCGGTTAAGCAGCCACCAAATCGATCCGTTATTACAAGGGGAACAACTCAGCAACAAGGTAATAAATAACGCAATATGGAGAATAAATTAGGTAATATTCAGATAAAATAAATATTATTAACGAATTTATACGCAAAGTATATTCACTAATGGGAACTGCGAATTCTACCAGGTATTAGATTGGATAATTAGCTTCCGCGGTTTTTTCAAAGTACTTGTTTTCTCTTATTCGTTATTAGCTTTTGATAAACGGCTCCAATGCACCCTTTCTACTTTATCAGCATGCTACAACTGGGTTACGAGCGCGATTTGAGCTTGAAAGAACTTGAAAGATGAACGATCCAGCTGAAAAAAAAATGCATTTTCGACATCTTCTGCACTATGCATTTCATCAAGACCAAAACTCTATCAAAACATAGACGATGTTCCGCTCTTAAGCACCCTCTAAGTTTGATGATGATCATCTGAAGGCACTTTCGAAGCAATACGGCCGACAGGCAGCTCGGGCGGACTAAATAAACTGCAGACATAGAACGTTGAAGACCACCAGAGAATTTTTTTTAGGTTTACATAAGAACTTGAGGCTTGACTACCTAATGAACTTCTCAAAATTCAATAAAAAAAATATAGTTTAACGATCTATCTCGACACTTCTCCCGGTATCGAACGTTAGCGGCTTCGACTGAAGTGTTATGCTGCAGTTGTCCTTTTGTCAATGGTCTTTTACCTGTTCTGTTCACATATCTGAAGCCTTACCTTCAACACTTATCAACAACTTAAAAGTAATTGGAAAAGTTATTCGAGCTAAGCCCGTTTCTTTTTGAGAAGGAAAACATCATTTTAATTAACGTTAAAAGACGGAAAAGGTGGTGAGGAATGACGAGAAATACGCAACTTAATAGGTGATTATAATAAAAAAGGCGGTATTTTTATTCAGTAAAAAACCGCGGGATCTTATCATCTTACATAACATTTAAAGTTTCGTTTCTCGTCAACAGTTCATCAGACGGTAGCTTATTGGCCACTTTCCTTTAACTTGAAAGCAAATGTCCGTGTTCTTGACGACTAAAGCTTCAATTTTGTTAAATATAAATCTTATGCTTTACAATCTATCAGCGCGTGGTTGTAGAGAATAAAACATTCGTTAAAAAAAATACGTAAAAAATAATTCGTGATAATGTACCCTATTGTTGTTGTATTTTAGTGGCGTCTCCGACGGCGTTGGACATATCCGGACCGTCTGGGTTTACTTATAATCCTCCTGCCTACACTCATCATCCACAAACGCAATCGCATGCACAAGGCGGACGACCCGTCAACTCAGATGTTGAATCGTCAGACTGGACAAAAGTGCTTGAGGACTTGCAAACCTGCGGACAATCGCGACTTCTACGTCAAATTGAGCGCAACCTTCAGTTAGCCGAAAGTCAACTGGCAGCGAGCGTCACCGGTGTACCAGGACTCAGTTCTTCTTCCGGAATTAGTTCCACCGGAGGCAGCAGTGGAAGCGGTATGCTGGGCGTACCTTCAGTAACCCCCAATAAAAGCCCTTCGCCAGCACCTGCTGCGTCTCTATCGTCACGTTTTGACGATCTCTTTGGTTTTCAATCCCAATTCCAAGACGAGATGTCATCGATACTGGATTTAGCAGTATCAGGAGCAAGCAGCCAAGGCGGTACGACCTCTTCAAATACGCCTTCGTTTCTAGATCCTCCTCCAAGAAATATGCCCAACTTTGGGCTGCAAGTGAGTACCACACATAATAAAAATGAACGCGCGTTTCTATTTCAATAAAGGTGTCTCTTTTTCATTATTGAATTATCAATAATCTATAGATTTCCGAGTGAACTTATTGAAGAAATATATGTCCTTACTACTCTTGTTAATTTTAGAATTTTAATTTAGAGTTTCTGTTCCGTACAAACTATGTTTCTCTTTTTCTAGGACATACCGCCACCTATGCCGGTTCCCGTGGAGGTGCATCGGGTGACTCTATTCAAAGACAAGGTCTATGATGACTTCGGTTTCTCAATTTCTGATGGTCTTTTCGAGAAGGGTATTTACGTAAATCGTATAAGACCTAAGGGACCGGCTGATATGTGCGGACTCCTCAGACCGTTTGATCGAATTCTGCAGGTATGAGTTTCAAAATTTTTAGCTTAAAACGCAATACATGTATATAATATTTTAGACGATTTTTTTAAGCAAAACAAGTCTATATTCGCGGTGGATCAACAGACAGTATATAGCGCAGATAGCTAAAACTGATCCTCTCCTTTTCTGTCTGTTACACTCTATCAAACTAATCCCTATTCTAGTAAAAAGAATTGTTGTCTTAATAGTAGATAGGCTCGTGACACATAATACTTTTCTGGTATGATCTGATGTACTAGTCTCTCCATGATCTTGAAAGGGGTGGTCATGGACAGACAACATCAACGTGACCAAGCGCTTCGAAATTTGGGTTAGCGGTGAAATACTTAAATCTTAAGCTAGAACTGAACTAGGGTTTGACATGACTTCAATAGCCAAGGTTTACGCGCAGACATGAATGATGTAATTATTTAGTGCCTATCTTGTTGCACGTTTACCCACAAATAACCTGGAGGGAAGTTGTCGTTTCCTTGCAAAATGCTGGTGGCAAGGCGACTGAAATGTAGCAGTGCTCCCGTTAGTAACGTTAACTACGGAGGCGCTTATGCCGCTAACGATAATCGGTGAGCTATAAGCAATGTTCATGTAAATTAAGAAACGAAAACTTTACACTGAAGTCCCTTTGATATTATGCCGGATGCAGACGTTTGTAAAATAAACATTATCCTGACCTCGACCTCTGCGTAAGAGGAAAACGGCAACCATACGCTGAAGTTACCTATCATTTCAATATGTATGAAGCACAAACGGTTTTAGCAAAAGGCGGGGGAAGTGATATGCAACCTGCCTCGTGTTTAACGGGGATTGTCTTTCTAGGTTCCGAGTTTTACGTCCGGTGTCGCCTTCAGGTATTCTACCAGACGGCTAGCTCCCAGCACGAAACATAATGTGTCCATGCCCAGATTCGAATCTACGTCCCAGTGTGTCCTTAAGATTAACAGAGAAATACGTTATCCACTCTGTCGGGGAACGAGAGTAACAGAGATGGTCGTGTTAGCCTCAACCGATGCTGCAGTCTATTAAAGTCATACTCCACGTACTCGGATACGTAATTTGCCTCAGCACGCAAAGAACTGCAACTTAATAAGCCTAGTCTCTAGAGACGTTTGTATGCTCTTATCCTATGCGGCATCTTTAATGATGTCAAGAAAACTCAATCATAAACTAGGGTTTCACCTACGTCATGAGTCATACCGAATTTAAAGGTCCAAGGTAAAAGGTTCCATACTGTGCCGAATAATTAGGAGCAGCCTTACAAGCTAACAAAGTCTGACGATCTTCTTAATCCTGCGCCCTTGACATCTTTAAAGAGTCGTCAGAGCCTCAAAAATGTTCATGAAAAAAGTGCACTTCAGAAAAACCAGAAGGAGCCGAAAGTATTATATATTCCGCAAACTCGCCTTTTGCAGTTTATTTACTAAAGTCACCCTCATACCCAGCTAAACGTTAATCTCAAATGCGGTAATACAGAAGTTGATGTGACGGTTAAATAACACTGACACAGTAAACTGGAACAGCTATCCACGTAGTTAATGACTTAATCCGGATCGTAGTTAAGCTTTGAGAAACGTGTTGTAACTGCTACAGATATACGTAATGAAATACTGTACAGTGCAGGTGATCTAGTTCTGTATGCCACAAAATATGAAATCAGATTACTGCGGTGAGAGAAATGTCAGAAAAGAGATTGTTATATGGGTCACACAACTGAATGACGACGAAGACACGATTATTGGGATAGCAACGTACACGGCATAGATGTTGGTAGCGTTTGACGCTACGTAGGGAAAGAACGCTGGATAGGGTAAGTATACCGTTGTGGTCTAGAAGCAAACACTCAAAGAGAGTAACATTTGCACTAATAACAACGATAAAAACAAAATGTGCGAAGATACTCGCTGAAATTATTGAATTAATCTCTTATCAATTATTTTTGTTTAGATCAACGAGCACAAGAGTCACAATATGGATTGCTGTACGGCGGTACCGCTAGTGGCGGCCTCTGGTGACACGATTGAACTGATAATTAGCAGACCAGCTTCTTATTGTCTTCCGCCTTCGTATCCTGATTGGGCCCAGGATCAGCCCTGGTTGGAGGATGCTCCTAGCTCACGCAGCTCAGTTGTGATCACACAGACTCTATAAGCCACCTTTTAAAGATTATAACATTCATTATTTGGACACGCGTCAATCTAACTGACTTGGGGCTGATAAGGCAATTTGTAGACAGCTTTTGTGTAATATTTTTGCTTTGAACGCTTGATAATTGGTTCGGGCTCGTGGTTACGCAGTGTCGTCACTTCTGCGGGTTCACTTAGGTGCGGAACTTGAACGAAGGAGACATTTCTTAATTATTTAGTTTTGCTTACATATACAAGCACCTTGCGATGCCACCTATACGATTCTTTCTATTCTAGGCTGTATTTAGCAAACCATTAAGACATTTGCTTCCTGAGCCGATAAACATGCTGTGACATGAATAATTGAGCTAATGACTGTGTGTTATTAAACTAGAACCAATGCCGGGCGCCAAAGTCAGTCGGGTAAATAATGAAACGAATTGTATGTAACGTACCTAGACACAAATCTATCCCATCACAGTTCACAATGTACATAATACTGTAAATAAAGTTTCCAAACTACAATCTCATTCGATTCTTCTTTATTATAGATAAATAAATCCAAAAGTTCGTTGTGCTTTCAAGTCAACTTTTAATTTGTATGTGGATGACGTCTTGTTTTACCTACTTATTTTATGGTTACGCAGGGGAGAGTGGGACTATATATATAAACAGGGCCATAAAGGCCATTTAGTTAGGGAATCCTTATTTGAAATTATAGTAATCCGAAGTTTCAACTTTTTTCAGACAGAACTCGGGTTAGAAATTTCGCATAATTCACATTATTGAATCTTTTTTTGACTAAATTTAGAACAATAGGGCTATACAGAACTCGTAGATATATTTTTGCATAACATCCAATTTTTGCTAAACAATGAAGAAAAAATCTACCTAATCACCTCGCTTTTCTACTACAGCTTCGCTCATTTTAGAGCCGCATTTTCAAAGCGAAACAATAATCAAGTTAAGCAAAAATCATCATCTTACGATATATCACGTGATTGCCCTGGGGTCTATGTTGGCCGAAATGAGATTGATGATATAAGCGACTAATATTTCGAGCCTATATGAAATAAAATGTCATGGATTGCTTATACAGATAAATTCCAGCTCGTTCTTGTGAACAAATGTATATTTATACATATGCCATATTTAATTAACATATCATAGTTTTGTGCTTATACGCCACACATCTAAGAAACGATATGGGAACATCGGTGTTCTCATAGAGTAGTGCTAGAGAAAAAAAAATACTATCGTCGATGTAACTCCAGTGTTTTTTTCTAATTAATTAGCGGTAAATAATCAGCGTTCGACGATTACTTAATCCGTTAAAAATTCAAATTTTTAGGTTCCTATAGGTATGTCTGTTGCAGGTGCAATTTTGACAGCACAATGAAACAGCCATATCTTCATAACGTATCATCGAGACTGCACAATGTTGCTAACAAAAGCTTTTAATCTTCAATGTATAAAGATCTCATGCTCGTAAATGACTTGAACGCTGTGTCCTGTTACCCATCGGCCGATGCTATGCATCAGACGATCATTTCAAACAATAAGCTCCGGTACTTATTCTTATCATTGTCCGTGCATGAGCGACCGAGATCGTACCTCTTAGCTCCTTTTGTAGGAAGTGCCTAGTAGTTTGGTCCTACTTGACTCGAGAGCTCGAAGTGCATACTGACGGGCTAACAGTTTTGCAGACCTGTTCGTATGGAGTACAAAGAAAGCGTTTCGCACCATTTCATCGAGAGCACTTTCTGCCCTTCAACGAAGCCATTCACGCCATTACATATGTGAAGGATGTGTAATAATGTGAGCTAGTCAGCCTAGATGTTACAGTCTTTGAATCATTCAAAGTTCGACTTCATACAAGTGTGCGCTGGGAATTACGATAGAAAATATCCTTAGTAGTTTTAGAGAAATGAGTATCTTTTCGCTGAATGGAAACATTCACAGAAATTCCTTCATTGGCATAGGCTGATAATCAGCCAGGGTTATTGAGCCATTACGGAGTATCACTTCGGCAGGACAATCGTTCATCCTCGAAAACAAAGGCTGTATCGAAGGCAGCTTTGTTGCCGCTTGTCCGCGAGAAGCAAGAACCAGTGCCCATAAGCATTTCTGCCTATTGAGATCAATTTATCGGAAGGGGCAGCACTGTAAAGAACCTGGTCCACGAATTGTCCCTTCGTCCTAATACAAGTCTGCATCGCGTATGTACGCGTGCGAACATCCGATATACTTTTTCGCGCTAAAAAATGCCTACTTCAATAACAGTAACCTATCGAATTCCTTTCGTAGAGAGAAGTAGACGACGCATGGTTAAAAGTATTTAAGAAACAATGCAAACAAATAGATTAGTGCACCGGAAATTTCCTGTTTACCTCCCTACAAATAATGTAAAAGCCAAATAATAAGGGATAGTCTAGAGTTAAATTGATGAAAACGACCAAAGAAAATCCTCTATAAAAATAGAAAATTTATTCGAATAACCAAGCTAATGAATTCGATACTAAATAAAAACAACACGGAAAATACTAACAGAAGCAAGAAACACTTAGCGGAAAATGCTCAACTTTACCACTCCTGGCCATATCTTTAGCCGGGATGAAAAGGCTGCTCGAGCAACTATATTGAAATTATCTATCTAATAACCGTTAACCATTAGACACGAGCGATGATTATCAAGTCAGCGACTAATAACCATAAAAAAACCTTTGTTCATCTCTTAGAGTAACTACAGTAACTAACTCAGAGTGGAACTGGCAAGTAACACTACCTTACGAAAATAAAGAACTGCTTGTATAGAGCAGCATAATTTCTCTCAACGAGCTAAAATACAAACCAGAAATTAGCCACTCTACAATACGCAACGTTCTCCCCTTTGGCAGGTTAAGTAGAAGAGAAAAACTGAACCAGACTTTAATTAAAGTAAATATTTGTAAACATTTGTAAATTGTTTCCAATGGTTCGCCGAATGTATTGGTTTCGCGGCGTCCAGCACTCGTCTTCTGTGAAAAGGAAAATGACGCCTACACTTTTGTCAGAAAAATCCGTTATTGATTTCAACACATCCTTAACACTAGGAGATATTTACCTAAAACGAAATTAGAGAAGCTTCATCGACAACTTATCTGTTCAATAAATACAACCATCACCATCTAGGTATACAACCTAAGCTTTGGGTATTCCCTTTCTACTTGATATTTTTTTCCAATTCTAACTGATTTCCAAAATGACTGTAGCACCGAGCCATTATTGGTCTCTTCTAAAACCAATCATATTTTAGCGTAGAAGTACTGATCGCACAAAGTTGATATTTTTCCCGCCAACTCTTTGAAAGAGTTCAAAGGGTGAAAGAGAGAGAGAAACTAAGTTTTTGAAAAACTTAGTTTCGTTGGCCTTGTCATTGAATTCAACTATCGGATTTTTTGTCCAAACTTAACTACATCTCCCTCCCCGGGGAGATTTAGAGAAGTATTTGAGAATATAAGCATCGCCGAAGAGAGGCTCGTTAAGGTTTAAACATGAGCTCCGATTAATAACCGCGAATATCTCTCATAAGGTAATCATGGAACTAAACAGTCTAAGCTTTTGACTACAAAGAGACTTTTTGAGCCAGCCCTCCAGTAAGCTCCACGCCAAAAGTACAAGGTACATTAAATTCAAAAAGGATCCTTTCCTTTTCCACATGGTTCCATATTGTCGTATTATCGTAGGCTTTCGTAGAGCAGTTGGACGTCGAACAGCGTTTTAGAATGTAAAGAATTATCCGAAGTTTTACCTTGTGAAATGCCGTGTTTCGCACTGAAGCAAAAATACTCAACGAACAGGCTGCTGCAGACAAACCACACAACTGCAAATTGCTCCCCTTATCCCTTCTTTAGAGAGCCTTTATTACGAATCACGAATGGGCCCATTTAAAATCCAGTCCTATTATTCTGAGAAGTCCGAACGAAAACTCTGTCCCGTCAGCTGGCGAAGGTTTTTCGGCTACAGCCACGAACGTGGCATTATCCCGCCGACATTTATCGCATTGAAAAATGGTAGACTCTGCTTGATGACGCATCCAGGGAATCTAGAATTTACTCATTAAATCCCTAATCACTACACAGCTTTCACGATGAGATTCCACACTAATTTGCAGAGCAATGTAGCAAATCTCGGATGGTTGACCTGAACCTGAATTGAAAGTGGCCTCCTACTCGCACCAAAATGCCTACGCGCTGTTTGAAGGCATCGTTGCCAATCACTAATAACGCTACTGCTCAGGTGACGCTTCTCTCTAACGGCGAGTGTGACCCTGCTTCAAAAAATACTTTTTGCTAAAGGTATGTCCAGACAGGTCAGTAGACTGCCTGAAAATATGATTTAAAATTAAATTGCTTTTAAAATATTAGGATCGCCTGTTCTGTATACGCAAACGCTCTCATTAGCTCAAAAATAATGAAAAGTTGTCCATATTAATGGTTAGATTGCTCCTTATAGCTAGCACTTCTTGTGCTTCCGGAACCTAATTAATGGAATGAGAATCAGGTTCAAGAGCAGGATATTCAAGTTCCAGCATGAGAAAATACTGCATGTCTTCCGCCTCATAACATGAAACAGCAAAACCTTGTTACCTGGCTTTGAATAAATGCACGTTCATACATAGTTTCCTTAACTTCGTCTCGAATGATACGAATCATGTCACTGTATAACACAGTTGTGCTTCTCTCTAAATTTGCGTCGGTTAAGATATATGGATCCTGGATTAATTCTGCACATCCCTCTGGATGAAATTCTGCGTACTGCTTGACATGCCCTCAGTTGACTATGGTACTATTAGACTTGATTATCTTTAACACCAATGAAACTGTCATCATTTTACGAAGTATACGACCGCCAAGATTTTCCGAATCTTTAAATCGGTAGAATGCTAGAGAAGTCCTGCGATCCAGATAAACTTCCATCATTAAATATGCCTTTCGAATATAATACGTCTGGAATTCCTAAGCGTTTGTGCCGGACACGAAAACTCGGGATATCTCGCGTGCAGTCATTTTGTGATACTCGTTTCTTGCGTGCTGCAGAAGCGTTAAATACTGGACGCACTTTCGACGACTTCTTTGTGGGTTTAATTACTGGAAAAATGAGGCATTAAATATCGATTTGTAACCCTGCACGGAAAATCCAATTTAGGCAAAATAAATGGAAATTTTTCCTCCCTTCGGGTTGTTCATCTCATTCGGTACGTGATGCTGTTTATATAATGAAGGCGTCGTTCGATCCTCAATTTTAACCTTATCATGTTAGTATTTATCATTTATGTCCTCAAAACTTATAGATCCCAACAACATACGTACTGTCTTATCAGTCAACTTCTAACGCTACATTAGCAAAACTTAATAGGAATGAAGATCCTTGCAGAAGCATCTGTTAAGCTCTTGCAGGCGAATCCGGCAAATTCGAATCTATTAGGAAGATAATTTTTATTTACTTTTACACCCTTGTGCCAGCGCTCTGGCGGCATCTGATTCACTA